TGAGACAGAGTCTCACTATATCACCCTCGGTAGAGTGCTGTGGTGTCACAGCAATCTCAAAATCTCAAACTCCTTGGCTTAAGTGATTTTTTTCCCTGAGCCTCCCAAGTAGCTAGGACTACAGGTGCATGCCACAATGCCAGCTATTTTCTTTTTTCTTTTTTTTCTTGGTTGTTGTAATTGTCATTGTTGTTTAACAGGCTTGGGCTGGGTTTGAGCCCACCAGTCCCAGTGTATGTGGCTGGCGCCCTAACGCTGAACTACAGGTGCTAAGCCTAGTAGCTTTTGTATATGCCAATAGCAGTCAAGTTGAGAAGAAAATCAAGGACACAATTCTTTTCACAGTAGCATTCAAGAAAAATGAAATACCTGCAAATATATCTAAGGAGGTAAAGGATCTTAACAAGGAGAATGAAGAAATCCTAAGAAAAGAAATAGTATAAGACACTAACAAATGAAAGAATATACCATGCTCTTGGCTGGGAAGAATCTACATTATTAAAATGTTTATGCTACCCAATGCAATATACATATTCAATGCAATGTCCATTAAAATACCAACATCATACTTTGAAGAACTCAAAAAAATAGTTCTTCATTTTGTATGGAACCAGAAAAAATTCCACATAGCCAAGGCAATTATTAATAATAAAAACAAATCTAGAGGCATCAGGTTATATTACAAGTTGGCAGTGATCAAAACAGCATGGTACTGGCACAAAAATTGAGACAAACACATATGGGCCTTAATAGAAAACCTAGAGATGAAACCAGCCTCTTATTGCCATCTGATAATTGACAAACTACACAAAATCATACACTGGGGAAAAGAATCTCTATTGAATAAATGGTATTGGGGAACTGGATAACCACAAGTAGAAGACTAAGACTGAATCTGCACCTTTTAAGACAAAAATTAACTCAAGAGAGATAAAATATTTTACTCTAAGACACAAAACAATAAGAATCCTAGAAGAAAGTATTGGAAAACTTGATGATATTGGCCTGGGGAAAGATTTTTATGAGGAAGACTTCCATGCTAATTTCAACAACCACAAAAATAAATAAATGGGACTGAATGAAGCTGAAAAGATTCTGCATAGCTAAGGAAACAACAGTTAAAGCAAATAGACAACCTTCAGAGTGGAAAAGATATTTGCATGTTATGAATCTGACAAAGGGTTGATAACTAGAATCTACAGAGAACTCAAATTAGTCACCAACAAGAGTAAACAATCCCATATACCACTGGGCAAAAGATATGAACAAAACCTTCTCTGATGAAGACAGACAAATGGTTAACAAACATTTAATAAAATGCTCATCATCCCTGATCATTAGAGAAATGCAAATCAAAACCACCCTGAGATATCACCTAACCCCAGTGAGAATAGCCCATATCACAAAGTCCCAAAGCTGCAGATTATAGCATGGATTTGGACAGAAGAGAATACTTTTATGCTGTTTGTGGGACTACAAACTAATACAGCCTCCTTGGAAAGAAGCATGGAGAATCCTCAAAGAATTAAAAATGGATTTTCCATTTGATCCCATAATTCTATTACTAGGTATCTACCCAGAAGAAAAAATAATTTTATCATAAGGGCATTTGCACTAGATTGTTTATTGAAGTTCAATTTATACCTGCAAACATGTGGAATTAACCCAAGTGCCATTAAACCTATGAATGGATTAATAAACTGTGGTATATGTATACTATGGAATACATAGAATACTATTCAGCCATTAAAAGATGGAGACTTTACATCTTTTTTATTAACCTGTATAGAGTTGGAGAACATTCTCTTTAGTAAAGTATCACAAGAATGAAAAAGCAAGTATCCAATGCATTCAATACTAATATGAAGCCAGCAGATGAACTAATACATGTAAACACAAGAGAAAAACTCAATTTAATTCAAGTTGGGGTGATGGAGGAGGGGAGCTTGGTGTGCTCTCACTTAATGGGCACAATGTAAAGATATGTGGTATACTTCCTGGGTGAGGGGCACAACTACAACAGAAACTTTACTTAAAAAATCATAAAAAGTATAACCTAATCATTTGTACCCTCATTTTAATCTGAAATTAAAAAAAAAGAAAAATTCAGAACTGAGGTGAAAGAAACCAGAACAATTTTTGAGATAAAGTAATAAAATAATATCAGAAATAGACTAGTTAAACACAAGAGTGAATAAGCAAAACAGGTAATCCTTTAAGAGAAATACCAGATGAAAAGACAAAAAAAAGATGTTAATGAATAAATTAAGAGAAAAAAGGATTCAGCTAGGCACGGTGGCTCACACCTATAATCCTAGCACTCTGGGAGGCCAAGGTGGGTGGAGTGCTTCAGCTCACAGTTCAAGGACAGCCTGAACAAAAGTGAGAGCCCCATCTCTACTAAAAATAGAAAAACTGAGGCAAGAGAATCGCTTGAGCCCAAGTTGGAGGTTGCTGTGAGCTATGATGCCAGGACACTCTACCCAGGGCGACAGCTTGAGACTGTCTCAAAAAAGAAAAAAAGAGAGAGAGAGAGAAAGATTAAAGAAAAAGTAAAAATATTGAAGACAGATAAAGAAGATTCTACATATAGATAATGAGAGTCTCTGAAGAAGAAAACAAAAGCAGGGAAGTAGAAAATTTGGTAAAAATGTACAGTTCAAAATAATTTTCTGGAAAGAAAAAATGATTTTAAACTACATGTTGAAAGATTATATTATGAATCTAAAATATCAGTGCTGAACAACCAATGCCAAGATAAATTCTAGTAAAATTATTGGAAAAATTAAAAAAAAATTAAATTAAACTAAAAATGTTCTTTAGCCATCCAGAAGAAAAATAAGCTTGTGACTTATAAGAGATAAAATATACCTTCTCATCAGCCTTTTCTACAGGAACACTTTGTGACAGAAAAAAAAAGGAGTAACATTTAAGATGTCCCCCAAAACTGTAAGGTAAGGATTTTATATCTAATAAAAATCTTTTTCAAGTATAAAGGTCACAGTTAAACTGTTACATGCAGTAACTGAAGAGATTATTGTTCCCATAAGCTGCTCCTGATGATCTATATTAACATTATTTCAGAAAACCAAAATGTTTAGAGAGATACCAAGATAAGAACTGGTGACGGAAATTAAATATACAGGTACCAATGAATAGTGAGAGTATAAGGCAACATGCTCTGGCAATGTAGATATAGTGTAATTATTTTAATTATTTTTTTAAAAATTGGGAAGAATAGGAAGAACATATACAAAATTTTAAGAAAACTTTTCCATAATTTGTGAAATGTTAATAAAATAAGGAGAAAGAAAATAAAATCTTTCCAGTAAATAATATTGGAAAGAGTGGCCAGAGAAGGTAAGATGGTAGACTAGAGACATCTCTTTTGCAGCCATTCTTAGTGAGACGAGGGAGAAAGGACTCCATCCACCTCTGGCTGGGGAGCTGTGCCCGGAAGTAATACTTCAGAGGCACAGGAAGGTAGAAGGAGACTCCAGGAGCCAATGAAGAGGATGAGCGCAATGGAGAACCAGTATATACAGAAGGCAAGTGCTTGTGTGCTGGCAGTGGCTAGCAGGTTTGGTGGTGGCTTTCAGAGACAGAAGGCCTTTTTTTTAAATAAGGAGACTCAGGCAGTTGCTGGAGTTAGTTACCTTGGGAGAGCTTGAGTGAATGAATGATCTTGAACAGTGCTCTGGGGCGGGGATTGAGCCACAAGGCAGAATGGAGCTTTTGTTGTTTGGCTGGGTGCAGCCATTGTGGGA